TTTATTTCAATTACTGGATATTACATTGATGACTCTTGGACTTTGAAACTTGCTAACAAATTTTTTATTTCATAGGTTTGTTTATGTACCGGCTCTTCATACTACTGAGTCTGATCAAATATCCTCATTTTGTCTTTGATGGACTGGAATATTGATAAAAATATTATCAACTATTAGTATTGATAATTGTACTCTCAATGATTCGATGATTCAACAATTTTTGGGGAAACTGTCATCAAAAGATATGTTGATGAATGAAAATGTACTTTATATACGTTGCTTTGCACATTTTTTAAATTTGATTGTTAGAGATGAGTTGGAAATAATTAGTGGTGCAATTGAAAAAGTCCGTGATAGTGTGATTTATTAGACTACTTCACCTTCTAGAATTGAGAAATTTGAAGAAGTTTCTCGTCAATTGCATATCAATTGTTCCAGAAGGTTAGTTTTGGATTGCAAAACTGGTTGGAATTCTACTTATTTGAAGTTAAAGACGTTTTTAATCTATAAAGATATGTTCCCATGAGTTAAATGCCGAGAGAAAAATTACAATAGTGAGCCAAGTAATGAGGATCGAAAAATTGTAATTAAAATATATGAAAAATTGAAGATTTTCTATAGGTGACAGAGATGTTTGCTGGAGCTCTTTATCCTACATAAAATTTTTATTTTACTCATATATGTGAGATAAAATCAAAATTAGATAAATGGGTGAAGAGTTCAAATGTGTTGGTTCAAGAAATGACGAAGTAAGTGCTTGCAAAATATGAAAAATATTGTAGTGATTGCCATATCATGTTAGGGTTGTTGTTGTATTGGATCCTATGTACAAGTTGAAGTTGATTGAATTTTACTTTAATCGGATATATGGTGATAGAGCAGAGATCAAAGTTAATCAAGTTTGTCAAAATTGTTATGATTTGCTGATTTATTACCAATCTAAAGATACGCCTTCTACATATACGAGCTCGGTGGTTGATGTTGATATGTTGGATTTGGAAGGTGCAATGACTCGCAATGTTGTTTCTACTGATGCATTTGATCTAAATCCATTGAAGAAATATGATCAATTTGTGGCAAGTATGAATGATTTTTCTAGGATTTCTATGATGTAAGAGTTGGATATTTATTTGGAAGAAAGTGTTTTACATGACACAAAAATTTGATATATTGGGTTGGTGAAAGACGAATAGAGTCAAGTACCTTTATTTACAGAAGATGACAGAATATTTGGCTATTATGATTTCTACAGTTGCTTCTGAATCTACAGTCAATAATAGTGGAAAAATTATTAGCCTTCATTGTAGTATGCTTAATCATTATACTTTGGAAGCATTCGTATGTACTCGACATTGGTTATGAAATGAAGCAAATAGTAAGTTAATTTTAATGTATTTTTAATTAATATATTTATATCTTATTATATTGTATGACTTATATTATTTGTTGATTTATTATTTTAGATGGAAATTTGACTTACGGATGCTCAAAAGCACTTGATGATGAAGAATGAGATGACGATGAACAATGAAGATTATTATTATTTTACATTGTGATTGATGACTTACGTTAATGTGTTTTGACTTTTAACGATGAATGCACAAAAGATTGCATGTTTGATTATTTCATAAATCATACTACCTCCGTCCCACATACCGTGTCTGCTACACTGTAGACACGGTATTTTAGGAGGGGTGTAATTAGTAGATAATTAAGAATGTATTAGTGAAAATAATTATCCTATAATATAAATAGTTATAAATTAAGATTAAGATAACTAATTAGTTTAATTAAAATTTTAAAAAAATAAAATTAAAAAGTTTAAAATGAGATTAAAGTGTATAATCATTTTTCAAAAAAAAAAGTGACATGGTATGTGGGACGGACAGAAACGACAACGTGGACATGGTATGTGGGACGGAGGGAGTAATATGCAAGAAGTTAGATTTTTTTTATTGAATTATTATTATTGTTGCTATTGTTGTTGATGATTATTTGTTATTATTTTTTTATAATTATTTTTTAAAAAACAGATAATTATTTAGGTGGGTTCGGGTCCGGGTTTGAATTCGGGTTCTGTTTATATTAAAAATTCTTAATTTGTTGGGTCCATCAGGTATGTCTCAAGTTGAGTCCGGGTTCAATCGAGTCTGATTCGGGTCTTGGGTCAATATATATTTTCGGGTTGGATCTTGGGTTTGGTCAGACCCAACCCAAACTCAACCTGTTGCCATCCTTTTGCACACTTGTCCTGATTTGACAGAATAACCAAGTGGAGGATTGAGGTATAGTTCCTCTTCTAATGTATCATGGAGAAAAACATTATTTACATCCACTTGATGGATGCTCCAACCTTTGGTAATTGCTAAAGTTAGAGCAAGTTTTACTGTCACACTCTTGGGGACAAGTGCAAAACACTTATCATAGTAAATTCCGTGTACTTGTAGGCACTTTTTTGCCACCAACCTTGCCTTGAATTTATTAATAGAACCATATTTATTTATTTTTGTTTTAAATACCATTTGTTTCCTATTGCTTTCGTCCCATGAATTGCTTACAAAGCTTTTATTTTTTCATTCATTGTCTCTATCCACTGAGGTATCTTAACTGCTTCTGAATAAGTAGAGGGTTCAACGCCATCAATTTATATTGCATTGTATGAGCACACATAATCTTTTATCCAACGCGGCTTCCTTTTCTAATTGTAGAGTAGGGGATGTTTCTATACTAGGGGAACCTGAGACAACTTCATTGGCATCCTCTAAAGAATCAGTTCCAAAGATGGTGGGGTTTGATGTTGGTTCCCAATGTAGCTGATAGTAGATGTCGCAACTTAATCGAATCTTCACAAACAACAACCTAGTGTTTGTCTTCCACCCAAATGAATAAAAACTCTAACCACTTAAGCAATTGATAGAGGAATATCACGTTATACATCAACACAAACCAGTTGAATAGTGCACTAATCAGTTGGAAAGATATACAATTGAAAATACACACAACTCTCTCATAGAACAAAAGTGAAGAATAAGGCACTACGCAAAGATCTGAAGATAAAAATGAATCGAGCAGCAATGACGAAGAAATTAAAGAACATAATCAATGGCCACATTTAGAACCCTCAATCAAACGGACATGATTTGATCTCGTGAGTTGGTGGGCCGAGTCGGATTGGGTTAATGATTAGGGTCAGACTCATTGGACTGTACTTGTTATATATTGCATCGGGCCTTAATATTTCATATGCCAAAACTAACAATACACATTAAAAGAATGCAACTAAATGTTTAAAAACAAAATATAAAATATTTTTAATTATCATTTTGCATATAAATAATTAATATAATAAATATAGAATCGAAGTATTTAACAACTAATTTTCAAATATTCCATAAACATTTAGCTTTCAGGGTTTTGTTGGATCAAACCAGATGTGACAATTTTGGACTGGTCTGATCCATTTTATTCGTATCGAGGTAGGCCCATTCTGATTTTATGTTGGGCCTATGAGCCTAGATTTAGGCGCAACCCGGTTCAAACTTTGTTCGGCCAATCTGACCTAATGTTGATAAAGTAAGAATTCAACCATTTACTATATCTTTATTAATGACATATAAATATTTGTTATATATTTATAAACTTATTTATTTTAAAATATATTAAATTTATTATGTTGACACTGTCCAAAGAAATTTAAACCCTATCTTTTAGATTCAAACACAATTTTTTATGTTGAATTTGGATCAAATTTTTTAATGTATCTATTTTTGCCATCAAATTAAAGTTTTGTTTATATTCATCTAAAATTATTTTTATTATTTTATATTTATCATAATATTTTTAAAATATCATATATATATATCCTATATTAAATACTTCTCCGTACCAAATATAGTGTCGTAGTTATTGTAGATATGAGAATTTAAGAGAACTATAGTTAGTAAATAAGAAAAAATATATTAATAAAAGTAATTACAATAAAGTAAAAATAATTATATATTAAACTTAAAATTAAAAAATTATAAATTTGGAAATTTAATATATTATTAAAATTGTAATTGTTTTTTTTATTTAAAAAAAAATAATAACATAGTGGCGAGATCCGTAAAATGAGAAAAAGAGTAATTATTATTATAATTACTATTTGTGTCACAAAACATGTACCAGTAATTTAAAAGTAGAATAAAATACTTGTGCACGTAGCCATAATATGACAGAGACTTCACTAATAATTACTATAAACCATTTTCCAGTAGGTTCAATAAATCTCTTTTTAGAATTTATAAGTTAGTTGTGAAATTTGTGCAATAGATCAATAAAAGGATGGTCCACATTTAATAATTATATTTGCAACCTAAACAAAGATTCACAGTTTTTAAATTTGACTAAGAAATTATAACCCCACACTTAATAGAGACATATAACTGATCAAAACTACCTCTAAAAATCATTTTTATTTATTTTTTAAAGAATTCTTAATGTTTAAGTTTGCGTATTACCAAATATTATGGTTATTTTGGACGTTGATTTTTGGATATTTATACATATTTTTACAAATTAATAAAAAATAGATCAATATAATGTAAAATATGATTTATTATTTTTTATTTTTAAAATATTACAAAATATTTGAAATATATCAAAAAGTAAAATATTACAATATATTTAAAATAAAAAAATAATATTTTTAATAAAAAATAATAAAAAATACATGGATTCAAACCCGAAGCTACTAAGTTTTGTCTGTAGTTGGCTTAGTGTGACTTAGAACCTAGTTTATATAATATTAAGTTCGACCAAAAATTTATAAATATTATAAATAATAATAATAATAATAATAAATGCTTTTAATCTAAAAAAAATAAAAAGGAAAAAAGAAAAAGGGTTACAAAGGCCAAAAGCACAATCAATAAACAATAAGGTACGAAAGAGTAGTCGGCTAAACAACAAACTCCGCAATCTATCTATTCTATCTATCAACTCACCCTCCCTTCCACGTGCCCTGTTTCGCTCACACACACTGCCCTCTCTCTCTCTCTCTCTCTCTCACACATACACGCCAAGCTCCAATTCAATACTCAGAATCTTTCTGGGAATTCTTAAACCGAATTGGCCCTCCTTCCCTCATGAGCAATCCAGATAGAAAGTGACCTCCTTCACCGCTGCCTACACACTTTTTCAATTTCACCCCCAACACCAACAACGCACTCACTATTGGGCCCTCCAAATCCCTACAGGAAAGCAACTCCCGCCCTTCTTCAACACACGCATTTCCATTTCTATTTCCAATTTTATTATTCTTTTATCGGATCCAACCAATTTATGCATACATAAATCCGTCCATGTTCGGTGGGTGTGGTTGGAGAGATATATATGTATAGATTTTGGGGATTTTGGTTCGAAGAATTTTGTTTCTTAGGTTTTAGATAACCCCACCGCCTCGAACACTCACTGCCCATTGTCATTTCCGACTTCGATCTGAATCAGGTAATTCGTCTTTCTTTGACTGAATCTGATCATTATTTCACTAGTGTTATAGTTTTTTTCTGCTGTTCGTCGCTTTGGCTTATCTTACTTTTGCGTTTCCAAATTTTTCGCCCAGTTGAATGTAGACCAACGAAGGCAGCTGTAGTACGCCGCCGTTGAAATAAACCTAATTATCTTTATTTTTTATTTTTATTGGGAACTTAATCTTGGCAGTATTAGTGGTAGGAAGAAATTGATATGGCTTTCGATCAGAGTTCAATCCCCAGTGATTTGCGTCCGCTGAATATCGCAAGGAATGGGCCGGAGGACCAGAGAATTTCTCCGGTGACCTCGTCAGGGAGGCCGCCGATGGAGGGGTTCTACGCTAACCCATCGTCAGAGGTCGGCGGCAGCCCCAGCACGATGCCGCCCACAGTTTATTACCAAAGTACAGCTGCAGATACAGGATTTGTTCCTATAGGGTATAACGCTGCCGTTCCTGGGATTTCCGGCGGGTGGGTTAAGCATGTTGTGGTGCCTCCGCCTCAGCCTCAGCCTCAGCCTCAGCCTCAGCCTCAGCCTCAACCAGGGGTTGTTGGTGTTTCGGTGGTGAATTCGGCGCCTGTGTCTGCTAATAGTTCTAATTTGGGGGCAAAGTCGAGGAGCAGTGTTTCAGATCATACTAGTGATGACAGTGGCCATGGTTCCATCTCAGGACGGAAGATTAAGTTTCTATGTAGTTTTAGAGGGAACATATTGCCACGGCCCAGCGACGGGGTGTTGAGGTATGTAGGAGGGCAGACTAGAATAATTAGTGTTAGAAGGGATATTAGTTTCAGCGATTTTGTTCAGAAACTGACGGATGTATATGCGGATAGTGTGGTGATAAAGTACCAGTTACCTGATGAGGATCTTGATGCGCTTGTGTCGGTCTCATGCCCGGATGATCTTGAGAACATGATGGATGAGTATGAAAAGCTGATGGAGAGGTCTTCGGATGGGTCAGCTAAATTGAGGATATTTTTGTTTTCACCTGCAGAACTTGACAGTTCGGGATTGGTACACCTTGGATACTTACAGGACAGTAGCCAGAAGTATGTGGAAGCTGTGAATGGGATTGCAGATGGCTTTACCGGTGGCGGCGGCAATGGTGGTGATTGTATTGCACGAAAAGAGAGCCTTGAGAGTACTGTTTCTGGTCAAGGTTCAGATTTGAGTGGCACAGAGGGAGCCGACAGCGTAGTTCGCAGCCCACGGGAGATTGCTAATTTGCTACCTCCTCCAGGTGGAATATCTCCCACTGCTACATCCGGAGTCCCCCTCGTTCCACTAGTTAATTCCGGGCCTCAAACAACATTAGGTGCCAAATCCGAGCAAGAGATGGAGAGATCTGTGCCTGCAGCTCTCCCACAGGCATCACCAATCATGAGTTTTCCAGCATCTTCACCTTATGTGCAGAGCTATGTGGATCCTCATCAAGAAGCTTCGAATCGTCCAAATTATGTTCAGCTTCCGTCCCAGATGGGATATCCTCCACATATGTTAGGTCCAGTGAGGCCTGTTTTAAACCAACAGCCTATGAATGTGGGAGCTTCTCCACAACAGTTTACACCTTCTGTACATATGACGATGAATCCCTCTTATTTGAGCATGAAGCCGAGTGTCATTCCCGGGATTTCTCAGCAGCATCATGTTCAAGTGGAGCATTATCCTGCCGAAAGCATGATCCCTCAGAGGAATGCCCCATTTCCTGGTTACATTGCACAGCAATCTCAAGTCCCCACACCTGTGCAGGGAGGGGTACATAATTGGCCACATATTGCACATTCTGAGCTGATACCGTTATCCGAGGGAGGATTACCTCCTCAACAAAGTAAACTTCCTGAAAATATCTCCAGAGTCGAGGGCTGCTGTTTGTGTGAAAAAGCATTGCCACATGCTCATTCAGATACAATAGCCCAGGAGCTTAAGGAAACTCCTAGTAGCGCCATGTCTGATGTGAAACCGAACTATCATAGTCTCCTCTTGGATGATTGTGGACGACCAGTGATGAGACCTGTTGCATCTGGAACTATGACAGAAGGCAATATTGGTGGTTCTCGACTTAGGATGGCAGGTAACGAGGATCATGAGTCCGTTAAAGATCAGACAGAGGTGATAGGGCTTCAACAGCACACAGAAAGGCAGTTTGGAAATGATAAAACTATTCCGCAGGGAGTCGTGATCACGAGTGGGACTCAGTATCCATATGGTTTGTTTGTTGCTAATGCTCCTCAGGCGTATCATGCTAATGCTGCACAAAATTATTTTCAGCCTCAACTCCAAGTAATACACGACACTGCAATCAGCAAACCTTTAACTAGTGATGTTTCGAGTGCTGGCATGCCTTTGCATATAAAGGATTATGTTGTTAGTGAATCTCCAAATGACTACTCTGCTAAAGTTGTTGGTGGAGTTCCTGTAGATGATCCCACTTCAATGGCTGTTAACCATCTGAGGCAAATCAATACGAGGTTAGAAAATCTTCATGTCAACCCGTCTGAATTTATGTCTGGCAATGAGTTCAACCAACCTGGAGTGGTTTCCGCTCCTTGGAGGGAAAATATCCCAGAGAATAGGCAACATCTGCCGCCCGACATGAAACCTTTTCAACCTGAATCCAAGGAGGTGACAGAGCTGCCTCTAGGAGGTGTTCAGAGCCAGTATTCATTGTTTGGGGATAGTAATTTGCACCCAGGTGATGCTTCGGGAAACTCCATCTATTCTGGCGGTGGGCCTGCCCTTGCCCTAAACTCGGAAAAGATCCCAACTGCCAACGGACATCGAGAGAACATTGGATGGTCTCCACCCAAGATAACTGGTGAAACAGAAGGTCTCACTCATGATAGATCATCTAATTTACTGTCTGACAGGGTTGGAGATATCGCAGATAACTTAGCATCGGTCCTTACCAACCAGGATTCTTGGAACATGATGCCCGATCCCCATTTCTGCCCTCCCCTGCCTACCAAACTTCAAACAAGAAGAGACAATGATGGGATGAAAAATCCTGCTGGTGATAGTTGTTCTGTCAATGTTGGTGAAGCTTCATCAGGTAATTTCAAGGAATCACCATTCGAGACTCTTGGGGGAAATGGGGCATACCAGCCCTCTGGCGATCTCAATTGGGATTTCAGTCGTAACTATACTATACCAAATGAAAGTATGGCAATGATTGTTTTTGTTTCTTTTTGGCTCATATGCACTTTAGGTTAATTTTTTTCTTACTGGATTTGCACATGGCTTGTGAAGGTTCAGCTGAGGATCTAATAAAGCAAGAACTTCAAGCTGTTGCTGAGGGTGTAGCTACTTCCGTGCTTAATTCATCTGTTCCATCTAGTTCAGACCTATCAGCATCTGTTTTGAGGACTTCTTCGAATGTTCAACAGAAAAGTGGCGACCAGCAGCCTACCAAGCCAGATACTCAGCATGGCGACACATTCGTGGTACCTGAGTACTCTACTAACTCGCATAATTACATGAATTTGTGAAGTATAGTTAATATTTATTCTGCATTTCATCACTCACAGAGCTGAATTGTTTTGTTCAGGAGATAAAGACAAAGTTGCCGCAGAAGATAAATTTTGGATTCCCTGCTTCTGGCATTGGTCGACTACAGGTTTTTTTTCTTTTTTTTTTTTTTTAAAATATGAATATCCCCAGTTTCATATAGCTTCGAAGATTTGTAATCATGATATTTTTTTCATCTTTCTTTATCATACCTTCCCTTTCATTCTTTTACCTGTGCCGCAGATTATTAAAAACAGTGACTTGGAAGAGCTACGAGAATTGGGTTCGGGCACTTTTGGTACTGTTTATCATGGAAAGTGGCGAGGTACTGATGTTGCAATTAAACGCATCAATGATAGATGCTTTGCTGGGAAGCCTTCAGAACAAGAACGAATGGTTAGTGTCTTTGTTGCTAACATTAATTAATTGTTACATGTTTTTTTGCTTACTGTAGCCTATGCTATATTTAATCAGAGGGACGATTTTTGGAATGAGGCAATTAAGCTCGCCGACTTGCACCATCCCAATGTGGTTGCTTTCTATGGTGTTGTGCTTGATGGTCCTGATGGGTCTGTGGCTACTGTTACTGAATTCATGGTGAATGGTTCTTTGAGGAATGCTTTGCAGAAGAACGAAAGGTAATGGCTCAACTTTAGTTTGATATAACCTTTTATGTATTAAGGCTTGTTTTGATGGTCCCTTTCATCAACTGTTTATGGTGGATGTTATGGGTATTTAGACTATCGCTTGATTGCTTTTAAATAATAGGAAAGTCTTTCACACTAGATGTTAACTTCTTAAGACGTACTTTTTTCATCTCTTCTTATTTTGTGTTGTCATCTGTCTATGATAGTCAGATAATGACATAATACTTGAGATGTGGTTGTCCTTTACACCATATTTCCATTCCAGGAATCTTGATAAGCGCAAGCGCCTGTTGATTGGCATGGATGTTGCATTTGGAATGGAATACTTGCATGGAAAAAATATTGTACATTTCGACTTGAAAAGTGACAATTTATTGGTCAATCTTCGCGATCAACATAGGCCAATATGCAAGGTTAGTTTTCTCATGTAACTACTAAGTTGTCTTTGTGTGTGAGTGTTGTTTTTAGCGTTATTTGGAACTTTGGTACAGTATTATTGTTCATGTTTCTGCTGATATGATTAGGTTGGATATTGAGCATTCCTTATGTAGTATCTGCTAGTGCACATATATGGTTACTGTAAGTATTGAGAATCAAAGATTGGCCAATTGGATCTGCAATGCTTGGGGATGGTTCAGTGTTTAGAATTAGGAAAAAATTGAATTTAAATTGGTTTTTGATGTGATATAATATGAGTTTGATGTTTAGAATTGAAAATAGGTTTTATATGTAATATTTTAAGTCTTTTTGTCAATTTAATCTCCCATCTTTGATTTGATATTATTTTACATGATATTATTCCCCTTTTATATTATACCACCATGGGTTTGTTAGTTGGGCTGCCTGTAGGTATAGGAATGATAAGCTTCACTAGAACTTACTTTGATGATGTTCTGTAAAGTGAGGTGATATGAGTTTGCATGTTGTAGATATAGATGGCATTTAAATGTTGGTTTTGAATTTAAAATCTGGGATAGTTATTGAATATTTGATTTTTCCCTTTTCTTTTTTCAATTTAATAATAATAAAGCATTGTATATGTTCTTATTTTCTCCTTTTACTTGCACGCATCCATGTTTCCATGTGTTATTTTACTGGCCAAGGTATCACTGATAAGCTGAACACATCAGATTGAAGAATAGATAGAGTGGGATTAAAAATATAGCATGTCGGTGTTGATACTTGACTAAGAAACTAGTAGGTAATTTGTGCGGCACAGCTCTTGCAAAGTTGTTGGCTGTAGAATTTTTCTCAAATGTTCTATACTCTGGACAGCCCACAAAATTTTGAGCAATTTTCTTAGGTTATTGATAGTATTCTCTTAAAAACTGTGATTGCAAGATTTTCATCTCCCTTTCTGACTGTTACTTTTTGTTAAATGTAGTGTGGCTTGCAAAAAGATTTTGATATGAGGGTTTTGAACTTTGATCCCTTCTCATCAGCATCCTAGAATTCGTGAGTAGGGGGATAAGATAGAATTTGTAGAAATTAATTAAGTTTGAAGTATAATAGATGGCGGTGATTGCTTGCCTTTGATCCTGCAGTTAAGGGATATGTTCGAACCTTTGGATGTTTGTGCTATTAACATTTATGTATTCATAGAGTGTCTTCTACCTGCATTTGACTTTGAAGGACCTACCCACATGAACAATTTATGTGAACTACGTTGAATCAAGATACAACCAATGAATTAATAAAGATTATAAGTTCTGCTAGCTGACTTTTTCTGTCCGAAGGAGGTTACAATACTTGATGGGTGGGCGATTACTCTATCAAGCCTTACAATCTTGTAAACATCACATCGAGTCTGTTCTGATGTGATGATATGAAGTAGGAAACTTCAAATCTATATATTCCTGCTTGAACATGGACAGCGTAATGCTTCTCTGTTTTTCTGTTCTCTTAAATCATTGCTTTGTTAAATTCATGTATAACTTACGCCATAATTCAAAATTTCTGGAGAGTTGTAGAACATTACATTTAACCAAAATAATATGAGCATTCAAATCTGTCCTTGCAGTTGCACTTTTGTCAGCCAACTAGCTTTTGTGCTCTTCAGTTTAGCTCGGAGCTTGTCTTATTTAAAATCTTTGCAAAACTGTAGGTTGGTGACTTAGGCTTGTCCAAGGTGAAATGCCAGACACTAATTTCCGGCGGCGTTAGAGGAACCCTTCCATGGATGGCACCGGAGCTTCTCAACGGCAGCAGTAGTCTTGTTTCAGAGAAGGTTTGCCCATTGTGTTTTCTTTTCCGTACTTATCTTCCTATCAAGATTTGCGACACTTTTAACTCATTTCTCCGGGCACATTATGGGGCAAAAACACAAAGCAAATAGTGATGAATCTATGTAGTAGGAATAACCTGGATTTTTTTCTTTTGACCAAATTTATTACCTCAGGTTGATGTATTTTCTTTCGGAATCGTAATGTGGGAACTTCTCACGGGAGAAGAACCTTATGCGGATCTCCACTATGGGGCCATTATCGGTATGCTTTCAAACACCCAATCATATGCGAATTACTCTACTATACTATAATCATCTGCTGCTGCACGATAGGTGGTATTGTGAGCAACACTCTGCGGCCAGCTGTGCCGGAGAATTGCGACCCCGACTGGAAATCTCTGATGGAGAGGTGTTGGGCGTCGGAATCCTTAGAAAGGCCTAACTTCACAGAGATCGCAAACGAACTGAGGGCCATGGCAGCTAAGCTGCCTCCAAAAGGACAAGGACAGCAGCAGCAGCAGCCGGCGCAGGTTCCATCGACAAACCCACAAGTCAAAAACTAGAAACCAAATCGCCATTACACATACATTTGATACATTACTTACTACTGCAAACCCCAAAAACCTAACATTTGGGTTATGAGTGAGTGAGTGAGTGAGTTAGTTGGGATTCTGCCATTTTACAGTTGGTATGGATGAATTACTTTGCATAAATATTTTTTAAAATTTGTTTATCCATAGTAATTTTTATTTTTTTTCAAAAATCAAATTAAATGTTTATTTTTTTCTTTTAAGCATTACACACACACATATATATATATATATAATTAATTTGAAGTATAATATGAAAATATATATTTTACCCTGTCTACCATGCCAATTTTTTTTAAAGAAATTTGTCTTGAAAGACTAGTTCGTACACCATATTATTGCGAAACACATTACCTCCCATATAACCTTAGAAAACTCTCTAAAGATGCTTCCAACCTTAGTGATTTCCATTTTATAGTGATTTTATTTGATATATGTTAAATTTATGAAATTGTTACAGTTTTCATAGTTGTTGAAGATGAGTTTTTATTCTTTTTAAAGTTGATTTTTATTTTTCATTGTGTAGTCTCTATTGTTTTAATATAAAATATACTAGTTTACTATTTTATTTTTCTTAAGAAAAAATATTACATTACGCATTTATATTATACTTTGCAAAAAAAATATTTTTATTTTTAAATCTTTTTAAAATAATATTTACTAAACACCTCTTGTTTCAATAAAATAGTGTGTTTGTTCAACAAATTTCTTTAGTGATGTTCATTATTACTATTACTAAAAATAGTTTATATACACATATTTTATATTAGAGATATACTTTATCATAACTAAATACTCTTTTCGTTCCAATTCAAATGACATGTTTTATTATTTTTGTCTATTTCACTAGAAAGTTATTTTTTAATTTTTTTTAGTAAAAGTAATTGTACACTAATTTCAAAATACAATTCACTTTTATTTAAATTACAAACATATCATTACATGTATAATTATTTTTACATAAAATTAAAGAAAAAAATTGTTAAAAACCTCTTATATACTTTCTTTAACCAATAAAGTACAAACAATGGTTCCCATCGAGTCAATGACTCTACTAACACAAAATTCTCATGATGTTGCGTGATGAAAGTTTTCGAAAGGGGAGGGAAAAACATCGAATCAGAAGATAAAGCCGTCTAAATTTGAGTAATTGTTTCTGCTCGCAAATAGGACAGAGAGTATAGTATAAACTTTTACTCCATATATTTCAAACAAAAATACTGACTTTACTTATACGATTCTCAATATATAATATATTTATATATTTTTTTTAAAAAAATTAATATTTAATTACAAATTATTTAAACTTCTTGTAAAAATATACATTGAACAAACACCGTTGTTGTTTTCACTTATTAAATAATTGTTAGATATTTTAGTCCAATTAGATCCATCAAAAAAAATAAGACACACACACTCAATTATGCAGCCCACTTAAACTTTGCCCTTGGCAGCGACCCACACCTGCCAACCCGCGCCCGTGACCCGCCCTCCTTGAACCGTTTAAGCTCTCTTAGTCACGATCTATACCCACTTACCTGACCTGCTTAGGATCTGCGTCCCTTTGCTTAGACGTGATTTGGACCATTGATTTTAAATCTTTGATCTTGGTCATCCATTCTCTTTTAGACCTAAAGAGAGGAGAGAGAGGATCGTCTCACAACTCACTCAGACACTCTCTATTTAACTCACCCTTTCTAGCCTCTCTCTGTTCATCCTCTTCGGCAATTTTTTCCGACAGTTTACGGCGGCGCCTTTCCTCCTGTAATTTATAGAATACCTGTGGTGCGTTTCTACCTGCTGTTTTGTTATTCGTAGTCGCAATGGACTCGTTCAACTTGTAAGCGTTTGTATTTGTTATGTTTCACTTTGTATGTTCTTAAGGGGGCATGTTTGTGTGAGTCGTGATAGTTTCAGGCCCGTTTAAGTATATAGTTGCTAGTTAGGTGTTTTTGTGTGTCGATTTATGGTTCGAGTTGGTTATGGATTGAGCCTAACTAAAACTAATTCAATATTTGATTTCGTTACTCGATTTCGTTAATAAAACTTTTCATCTGGTTATATATTTACAATACAATAATGCTAATAAAATTAAAATGTATAAAGTGGAAAAAACGAAATTTCGTGGACACACGACGTAGAACATTGAAAAATAGTCAAACAAGTTATCCGTTTAACAGTCAAACTTGGACATACAAATACACGCCTGCATCCAATCTATACATATACATATAAAATACGTACACATATACATACACTACGTCACAGATCGACTCTATTTTCCGCCATTGTTTCTTCCTCCTAACAAGGGATCGGATTTCTTCAATTCCGTCGTCAATGGCGGCCGCCGGCAGACCTCCCCAATACTCTCCCATCTCCGAACGCGACAACGAGGGATTCTCCGACTTCGAAAATCCCTCCTCCTCCTGTCTCGGCCGCCTCTGCTTCTGGTGCGTCGACGACGACGCCGACGGCGGCGGCGGCTCCAGCCACAACCGCCTCCTGCACGACGGAGCGCCGCCGCACCGGAGTTCGTGGCTGGGCAGTAAATTGAAGAGTTTGAAGGAGCATTTGGAGCTCGCGGCGGGACCCAAATGGAAGAATTTTATCCGGCGAATTGGCCGCCTGCGCAACTCCGGCCGGGCGGCGCAGTTTCAGTACTCTCCGGAGAGCTATGCTCTGAACTTCGCCGGCGGCGAGCAGCGGGAAGACGAGGGGACTCTTCTGTACAGTTTCTCGGCGAGGTTTGCTCCCCACGCTTTCGTCAACGATCGCCAGAGTACGGCCGCCGGCTCTTGATTGATTTGATCGACGGCTGTGGATGCACGCACGGCTGATCCGACGGTCCCTGATTTGTGTAGGTTTGGAGGTTCTTCTCATTTATAAAATGTTATTATTAATTATAATTATTCATTATGTGAAAAACGGGGAGTCATGATCTAACGGTTACGATTCCCGCACTTTATTGTTTCATTTTGGGCTATATTGTATTTTACATGAACATATTGGGTTATTTGAGATTCATAAAAGTGTATGTGCTATGTGTTAATTTTATGAAATATGTGCTTCTTTGGGCTATATGTGTATTTTCTTAACATAAAAATATGACTAGATGACAACACTTTCTCTAATTCATTGTGAGCTATTAAGATGTTAAATTTAAATTTTATATTTAAATGATATTATAAAGTAAACTGAAAATGAAATTTAAATTAAAACGCGAGGAAGTTTGGTTCCAAGGCAATTTATATTGACCAATTAGACGCCGTAGAAAAAGTCAATGGTTGTTTGTTTATTTGTTACAAAATGCCAAGTACAGTATATTACTACAAAACAATTGCCGGCCGGACATCGTGACTTCCTACAAATACAAATTCGATCCGATCCGATCATTTATTTGAATGCCAACTACTGAGCCATATTTACCTACGATTCCATTTTCTATTTTAAATTACATATTAGAAAATAAAATAAAGGGTAAACTGTTTTTCTTAGTTCCGTAACTGAACCCTCTTATCATTTTAGTTTCGTAAGTGGAGCCTGTCGTAAACTAGTCTCATAAGTGAAAAATTTTCGTTGTTTTAGTCCTCCGACACCGGAGATGCCCGCGTGGCTCGCCGGAAGTGACGTGTCCGCCAAGTGTCGCTGACATGGCGAACACGTGAATTTTTTTTTTAAAATTTTTTTTAAAACTTATTTTTAATTTATTTTAAATTTTATTTGTATATTTTTTATTTTTTTATTTGTTCTAATTAAAAAAATAAAAAAAATGAAATAAATAAATAAATTCACGTGTCCGCCGGATGTCGCTAACCTGACGGAACATCTTGCGGACACTTCACCTCCGGCGAACCACGCGGGCGTCTCCGGCGTCGGAAAACTAAAACAACAAAAATTTTTCACTTATGGAACTAATTTGCGACATACTCCACTTACAGGACTAAAATGATAATCTCCGGCGTCGGAAAACTAAAACAACAAAAATTTTTCACTTATGAAACTAATTTGCGACATACTCCACTTACAGCACTAAAATGATAAAGGGTCCAACTACAGACTAAAAAAACAGTTTACCTTAAAATAAAATAAAATAAAATAATAGTGCTAATTTTTCAAACCACATATAACTGATAACTAATTTTACCATATATATATATATATATAATTATCTTAACTCAATCGAAACAAACTGCTAAGCAAACAAAATAAAAAGAACAACAAAATTTTACCGTTATCTTTGAGTTCTTCTCTCGATTTATTCTTCCATGTACACAATAATAGCTCCATATATGCTACCAACACTCTACACCCACTTTCCTACCCGACGACGGCTCCGTCGCGTCGGCATTTTCATTCCTATTCACTACAGAACTCACAATACCTTAAAACCACCACCGCCACCAGCGGCGGCGGCGGCTACATCACTTACGTCGAGCTTCGATTTCCGGTGTATTTCGACAATGACGACGACTAGGGTGATCCCGAGTCAATCGATTTTTCTTCACACGAATCGCTCATTGCTGTTTTTATCACCTGCACTACTATTCCGTCGAGAAAAGTAAGCACGAATTTGGATTATAAATGTCGTCAATTCGACGAAAAATCGGTGATTAATTTCCCGGCCTACCTCTTCCGCTTGCTCTTCTGCGACGACGACGACGGATTGCTGTGCCAGTTTCTCTTCCGTTGGTTGATGAACCAATTGTTGATTTGCTTCAGCTGCAACCCCGTTTCTTGCACCAGCCGCGCTTTGTCTTCCTCCTACAACATCGTACCATACAAATCTTAACTTTAACTTCAATGCACGATAAATGCAGGGCTAGGGCCAGGACAGGCTCGGATCGGATTTACCGTCGGGTAAGGCCACTTGGAGTGGGACTGCCACCAAGCTTTCAAGACGGAAGTAGTGTCGCCCGGGAGTTTCCCCGCTCGTCGTTTCCGTAAAATTTCTTCTCGGATGTCGACGATCTTGTCTTTATACCCCTGCGAAGAATAAACCGAGTTTAGCGACGAAAGCGCCGCGCATCGTTATTACACGGGACCGTTTCACCTGTTTAAGTTCGTGCTTCAATTCTTGCCTCACGCGTTCCATCAAGGATCTCTCGGTTTCGCTTGGTACTAAGGGCCCAAAGCCCATGCTGTCCGGCCCGTCTAGACTTTCGTCGAACAAGTTCACTTCGCTATCTGCCTGGTCCTCGTCGTCGTCGGACATGGTTGCTCCAGTGCCTTCACCTGGCGCTACGCCTGTCGGGTAAACCATACAAATGTCGATCGTAAATTCAAATTTCGTTGAATCGGAGACACAGAACGATCGGACGGACAACAATACCCGTGAGGCTTTGGAGTGATTGCTCGAGCTCCCAACACGCCATTACAGCTTCCATAGCGTGAACTCGAACGTGTTGTTGTAGTTGTTCTTTGAAGGACGAGAGCAATAGGACATAATGTGTCTGCAAAAAAGTTAAAACAATTTTTGAGCAGCCATCGACTCGACCAGAGGTCTTTGATTGTGCTTAGAATTCATCTTGTTACAATATTCGACACTGTAAAAACCTTCGAATACATTCCTAATCTTTCGTCGAGGAGTTTTGAATATCCAACCAAACTAAAAGTAGAAAATTTAATCGAATGGGACTCAAATTTTTCCAAGTTTCACTCTACTTTTACGAATCAAGAACTGCAATTAACAATACGAGACTACACAGTGTATGTTCGGAAAACTGAAACTTAAACCACATCGAAGAAGCTATAAGATTTTTTCTTCTATCAATTTTTATTTTTGTATAAACATTCGAATTGATCATAGAAGTACATGGCTAAAAAAATAATTCAAGCTATAATCTTCGAAACTTTAAAGACATGATCATCCATAAAATGAATAAAATCCAAGCATGATTTACCGACAATATAGAAGAAAAGAGCCTCTCAACTCCAAAAAAAAAAAAACCCGAAGCTACATCAAATCAACATAGAGATTCTTGAAAGCACTAATTAAAAAATGGAGTTCCAATTATTGGTGCGACGATAACAACAAGATTCCTCTTGTGACAGGACAACCAGATATACCGACGACTAATATTAAAAGGATTGAATTCCTACAAGAATAGAATCATTCCTATGAGAATCATTCTTCTTCTACGTATATGATCAAGAATAAATAAGTATGTGGTCTAAGATGGAGCTCCTCTCAACCATACCAATTCCCATGCTTATTCTTTTCTATCCATTCGATGACAAACTACACTACACAACCATGGATTCTGCTATAACATTTTTGCTGAAATTTCAGACTTGCATAATACAGATTAATAAACAGCTTAATCCAATCGGAAATCAGGACTCACTCATAACAGATTTAGACATAACAGATTTAGATTTCTGAGTCGAAATGGGACTTTCAACACAATCTGAAACAGGGCTTTCAATGGAGCACAATTTGGCAAACTCAATTTTCAATATCAAGCAGGCAAGTTAAGAGAGAAATTGATTCAAGCGATGTCCGTAGAATTGTAAGCAGCAATGGATGGTAACTAACCAAGAACCCTAATTTTGATCATACGGCAATTGAACAGAATTGTGAAGATTCATTCTCCAATTGAACTGACAGATATATGAGAGATTGATAATCGTGTGTGAATTGTGAAGCAGAGATCTGAAATTGGAGAAATATGTAGAGGTGAATAATTTGGGGGAATTTAATCGAATTCAATAATTATACCATGAAATGGTCGAGGTCTTTGTCGTCGAGAGGAGGCTGTTGAGCGTTGCCGAAGACGGCGTACTTGGCGACGACCTGCTGCGACTGTGCGAGCTGAGCGTCGATTCGCGGCAGCTGGTCGACCGGAGTGGCGATGCGGAGGCAGGCGACGTGCGCCGACAGAAGCTGTTCGTACAGAGGGTGGTTGAGGATGTCCGCCTTGCACTTTTCCCTCTCCCAATTGTTGTTGTTGTTGTTGGCGGTGGTGGTGGTGGTGGTGGTGTCTCCGGCGGTGTCGTGGTTGGTATCGGTGGGGGTGGGGGGGCTGGGGTGAGTTTGGGAAGGAAGCCAGTGGTGGTGATGGTGGTTGAGCCAAGTGGTGGCGGTGAGGGGAGGAGGCTTGTCGTCGGGGGAGGAGTGGTGGTCGGGGAGGATGGAGTGGAAGACGGCGGAAGGGTGGTGGTCGGAGTAGTGGGGATGGTGGAGAGGCTGCATTTCCTGAGAGAGAGGAGTGTGGTGGTCCTGGAACGCCATGGAAGGATGGATCCAAGCTTTGCTGAGCTGAGAGATTAACTAATTCTTTCTCACTGTACTTCTTCGTCTTATATAGCACTCTTCTTTTTCCACACTTTTCTTTTACTAATTTTAAATAATGGTTTTATTTTATTTTATTTTATCAATATTATTATTATTATTATTATTATTAAAATTTGTAGTATTATTTATTTATTATTATTATTGAGTTTTGTGATAATTTGATCTTTATAATATTCAAATGAAAAGAAAAAAATTGAAATACTATATGTATATATTCTTTTATATTGTTTTTATTTTTAATTTCGATATTTCAAATAAAATACTTTATATATATATAATATTATATATATAGGTGTTAGATAAGTGAGTTTGTTTGTAAATTTGAATTTTTTAATAATTAATAATTAAATTTAAATAATTAAAATTCGTGTAAAATCACAAAAACATATTTGTTTGTGAATTTAAAAGTTGAATTGTTTTTTCTTTTAATAATATATTATTAAATTAAAATAATTATTTAATACTGTACAAATAAAGAATAATTGATACTACGATAAAAATTATTTGCTTGCGTAAAATAAAGAAAAATAAATAATTAATTTGATTTTTTTAAAAATAATAATAATAAAATTTGAATTGAAACCCAAAATGGAGTTCTATGTATATATATATATATATGGTGATGGTTAAGATGCTGATTTAATTAAATCCGCTTGTTATTAGATTAAATTAGCATATTAGTAGAACAATTAATATTTCATTATAAAATAAATATCATACTATGTCTTATATGAGTTATATATTGTATTATGTTCTATAATACTCTCTTCGTCTAAAAAAAGTACTATTAATTTGGTTTTTGCACGTAATTTTAAAAATATTAATATTATATTGGAATATAATAGAAATGACTAAAATAATCTTGTTAGTACGTGTGATATAAAGGTAATGACATTTGTATAATATATTGTAAGTTGTAAGGGTATTTGTAATGTTAGGTAGGTAGTACAGTCCTTGAAAAAGGAAATGGATACTTGGACTAAAATGGAAAAATAAATACTTTGTTATGGGACGGAAGGAGTATATTTATTGCTATAAAATCAGTATATATTCTGCTACATAAAATTATATAATGTGTTATCAAAATAAATTATATAAAGTATTATTTATTGTGCTAAAATCATATTATATTATACTACATACAATTATATAATATATTATCAAAGTATTATATGGTCCGATAAAAAAAATAATAATAAAAATAAATAAATAAATAAAATTACCGAGTCAGCACCATAACCAAATTGCATATGTATTTAAGGAGTATTTAGTTTTGATTTGAGTTTGATGTTTTAATTTAAATAATATTTTGTAATAAAAATAATAATATATAATCATTAAAAAGTATTCTAACTTTACCATATAAATTTGAGTTTGAAAAAAACAAACAAACAAACAAAATTTATAAATTTAGTATTTTAATATTTCAAATCAAAATCAATATTATTTATTACCTATTTTTAATAAAAGTATATTATTTTTCTCTTAAAATATCATGTTAAAATATTGTTTAAATAAAAATTTAAATTTAATGTTTCATTTCAACACAATTTCAAACCTTAACCAAATAATTTTATATTTTATACTCTCTTATTCCGTCTCTAAAATCATATTTATCTTTTGCGTCGTGCTAATACTAAAACTATTTTTTTATATTTATATAATTTTTTGTATAAATATTTTTCTATTAATATTATAAAACACTAATAAAAGTAACTTTGCATATTTTTTTTTAATTTATACTACGATTTTATATAATAATTCATATTAAAAAATCAACACGTATAAAAAGTAAATGAGACCCTTAGAACTGGACTGCAGTATTAACTAACTTACTTTATATATTAATGAATTTACAATATAATATTCCTTCCGTCCGCTTACAAAGTTTACATATTTCTATTTTGGAACGTCTAATTACAAAGTTTACATTTCATTAAATACCTTACTTTTTTTCAAAAATATCTTTATTTTACATCACATCATTATTTTTATACAAAAAAGTAAAGGCAAAAATGTCATTACACTACTTTTAACTACTCACTATAATTAAAATACTATTATTTCTTAAACATCGCGCCAAAAGTAAATGTAACCCTTGTAAATAGACGGAGGGTGTATATTTTTATTTCAAAAAATATATATATAGTGGAGTATTTAATATTTAATTTTTGTATTCAAAACGTCTTAATCGATATTGATCTTTACGATAGAATCTTTTTACAATCCAACAAATCATCCATATAAACACATTCTTTTATATAAAATAATAATAATAAAAAAAATAAAAATAAATGAAATAAAACAAAATACAAGTCTTTGCTTGTAAGGGAGGTGGGAATAAAAAAATGAATAAATATCTTGAATTGGATTGTATTGTAATTCATGGTTATATATATATATATATTTAAATTTTTTTATTTATTTTATTATTATGTAATTTTTATACAATATCTTAATTTTTCGCAATATATTATATCAAAGCTAGTGTTGAAACGAAAAGATTTCAATAAAAAATATATATATATATATTATGATTAAAATGTCAAAATAACACAATATAAATATATATACATGTATATAATAACACAATGTGTGTTTGTTTGAAGGATTTGTGAAGATTTTCACTATTCATTCTATTTTTTTCCTTCAAAAACATAAAATCAAACACCTATTTTTTATTCTTTATATTATACTAAAAATAAATTTTACATTCAAAATATTACATCAACACCTATTTATATCACATCATGCAACTATTCAAATTCAAAATTTTTACTATTCAAATCCCAACTCAAAATCCAACCCCCAAACAAACACACCCAAAATTATGCGGTTATGATTTAAAATAAATTTGAGATGAAATATTGATTTAACTTTATATTTAAATAGTATTTTGATGTGATATTTTATTTGAAAAAAAACGTAATATATTTTTATTAAAACTCATATATAATTAATAATAATAATGTTATTTTGAAATCTTAATCAAACAAAATAGATGTAGAAATTTATGAATTAATAATCAAGTGACAAACTCTTTTTTCTTTTTTTTTTTCTTTTTTTTTTTTATGATATGGGAATCTGCAACTATCTAAAAATGCGCACTTGGTAAATCTCCGACCGAACCTAATATCCTGCAAACCAGCGAACCATGTGTAAGAGGTGATCTAAGATGTCAGAGGTTTGAATCTATGACCTCACGGTCACAAGTCCAATCCTTACACCACCGGTCATCCTTACTAGACAAGTGACAAAGTTCTTTGTTTTGAGGTCAAATGGATGATGACAGATATTGATTTATTTAATGGGTTTAATGTGTGATATTTTAAGATAATAATAATAATAATAATAACATTTTATTGAAAATTGTAAAAATAGTATACTATGTAGATTTTTTTAAAAATTACTCATTCCGTCCCCATTTTGAATTGAACCATTTAATTAGAGATACGATATTTAAGTAAGAATATTTAATTAGTTGTAAATAAAAAAATATTTTTGTTTATTTATAATTAACATAAATTAATTTTTATAAAAGATATGTAGTTTTAAATATAGATAAAAATATGTGATGTTTTGAAATATTTTTTTTTTAGGTTAGATGTAGAAATAAAGGGGTTTTGAATGGTTCTACTTCATTTATGATGTTGTATGTTATGTAGTTAATTAAGTTGATTTATATTTGTTAAATATATTTTGATTTAATAATTTTTACTAAAAATAGAAAAAATACCAATTGTTAGAGGACAAAAATAAAAATAATGTCAATTGTGGTGCGACGGGGGAAAGATATAATAAATAGCGTTGATTTTAATTTTAAATGCTAAAATAACAAACCTCAATCGCTACATGTAATGTTAGAAGATAAAGAAAAACAATGAATGGTAATTTGGGTATACTTATTTTATCTTTTAACTATCATATATTTTTTTTATAAAAATATTTTTTTATTAGTCTGTCAAATTTACTCTCATTTTTTTTTTTTAAGTTCATCTCTTAAATTTACTTATTATTAATATAGACAAAGTTAACAAATTTAACATTTAACAATTATAATTCATTCAACATTTATTTACAACAAATGTCATTGTTTTTATTATATTCATTCTCTTCATTTTTCTTTAATTTCTAATTAAAATTTAAAAAATCTCTTCAACTATTTTTTTAATAAAATATCTTTTATTTTCATATCGGACCCAAATATTCTAAATAACGGGACAAAAAAGTATTATAAAATATTATATTAGTATTTAATAGTTAAATAAAAAATACTCCAACTATGCATATAATATTAATGAACACGTCCTAATAGATCATTTATACTATATTTCAATTTTATTTTATATTATTATTATATATAATACATTTTAAATTGATATCATATTTTATAAATATATATATATTTATATAAAATACTATTAATTATCAAACTGATATTTTTTTCATTATTTCACTTTCACACTTAAATTTCATTAATTCTTTATGACTCCTACATTTAATACCTTTTATAGCCGAGGGCATGTAATTTAAAAATATCGGATAATATCGGTTTTTCTTTGAAATAATATTTTTAGTTAGGTGTTATAAAAATCTCGTTTTAACTTCTAAAAAAAAAAAAGAAAGAAAAATTTTCATATTAATGAGACGAGTTTATTTTAATTTAGCTTGATTCGAATTTGATTTTTAAATAATATTTAAATATAATATTATATTAAAGAAATACGTAAAATACTTATTTCATTCTAAAATTTTATTATTTAAAACACAAATTCAAAATTAAAACCTAAAAATCAAACAAGTGTGAGCAAATTAATAATAATAACTTGTACCTACTATTTTTATTTATTTATTTATTTATTATTATTATTATTATATTTTTATCTAACTACAAAAAAATTTATTTACATATGGTTAGTGGATGGAGGTTGCATTTCATAGAAGTCTACCCAAATCATCAATGATGATGTCCTATATTACGTAGTTGG